ACTGAAATATGGTACATGGAATCGCATTAGCAATTGACACCTGTGGGCTAAATATTTTGATAAAGTTGGCTAAACAAAAAAAGCATTAAATCTTCAACAAACAATTTCTAAAAAATGAACGATATCATCCGATCCCCGCTCAGTCCYCATATAACGGTATTGCTAAAAACTACTAAAAGTRCGATATCCCATTAATTAAACACACCAGAGACATTAAATTTTACYTCCGAGATGGTATGAGATGGCTTTAATGGCGCTGGGGTCAAAGGTAAACGATGGACGGCCTTATCTCGGAACTTGCTCGACCGACTTCAACTAAATTTGGTATTTAAGATTGATATAGTGTGAAAATGATCGAAATCGGGCTGCAACCTCGGCTACTTTCCGTACGATACATTTTTAAATATCATTTGTCGTTCAATGTGTGGAATATATAATTGAACTTTGGAGATAATTCTGTCCTGATAATARCATTTATTTGCGTTAAAAATGGGTTGAATTGGCTCAATACTTCCCCTCGCCAAATATACCTAATAGTAAGATTTTCGAACTTCTAATTGATTAAATATCGCATATTTCGGCAAATGTGTGAGTTATTTTAATAGAAGTGAGGTAGCGCGTTTTTCTAATAATGATACATCTCTCCGCCATAAATAGATAAAACAGGGTGAAAATTTATCCTATACTCTATGCAATTTACAAACCTTTTTCATTTGAAGTAATTTCGCCGTTTTTGATCCTGGCAAGTTGCAAAAGTATAAAATGTTCGGTTACACTTGAACTTAGCCCTTCTTACTTGTTTTATTATTTGTTTATTTATGTTTGAAGAGTTTAACTAATATTAAAAAAAATTTTGAGTTACGCGTCTTTGTACTAGAGGGGGGAAAAAGCCTTGTCCTCGTTCCCATGAATTCTAGGATTGCGATCCTCTGGGCGAATAAAACAATGATGAATTTTTGAAGTATCAATGTTGACATTTCAGGAAGCTGCAAAAAATCGGCTGATTAGAACTTGAGGTATTCTGGCAACTGTATCCTAGAAAGTAGTTTCGAGAAAAATGCGTTTTTTTGCAGTCGTCCGCTAAACCGACCCAGTTACCACAACACAATAATTTGAAAAATCTTTTCATTTTTTCAAAATATTCAAATTTTCAGACAAAAATACCCCCATTTAAAGCGGCATAACCGTTGTCTTGAATTTTAGTACACGTAATATCCTTTTTTCCTGGTTAGCTGGGACAGTAAATTACTCGTGAAAAATATACATATATGCAAAGAAAATCAAATTTTCATAAAAGACTCACTATTGGGATCAATTTAAAAAGTAATATGTGCAAAAAAAAACGTGTGTTAAAGTCTCATTYTACATGTAAACCTATCCATTCGTACTGGGAGATTTTATATATGTACATATGTATTACTGTTAAAAGGAACAAACCCAAAATATTCAGGGAATGGCAAAATAACAATAATAAATTTTAGTCATTAATCGCTTTGTCGTCTTTGCCTTTATTTCTTCATATCACGGTAACAATATACTGTTTTATACAAGTGAACTGAAATCTTTCAAACCGTTCTGTGTTTGGGGTCCAAGTTAAGGATATGATTTTCTAGTTCCGTCGCCATTTTCAAACTCTGTATTAACATATGGAATTTTGATTTTATAGCAAAATATACATAATTGAAATTAAAATGACATGTAAAAAAATTATTTAAAAAAAGTGACCAGGAGGTGTAAAAAAAGCCGTGTAAAAATCAGTGCAAAAAAGTAGATCAATTGTATTGACCATCTGGTATAGTTTGTTCGATTTGCTATTCTTCAACGCTTGCAAAATCGAAGACATGTTGTAAAATGAAAAACTTTTGACATTGTCTCTCTATTTATCAATTATTATTATCTAAAGTTTTATTTACGTAGGCTATGACTTTTCTAACATTTTTAATATTAAAAAAACTAACTAAGATCATTTTAACTGAGAATTTAGTTTCTGGTAATTTTGTTTTATGATATCGGTTTTTATGTGAGTTTTGTTTGTTTGTTTGATTTTATGTCTAGCTAATACTTTTACTACAGGTCCTAAGAATTCGTGTATTTTTATTATAATATTACTCGAGGAAGATTTTAGAATAAATTCTGCACTGAACACTTTAAACTAATTTGAGCTATCGTATATAATTTTTTTTTAATATTTATGTGCTACGATGAGCAAATAATAGTAACAGTTTAGTCATAACTTTAAAATTCTTAATTTATTCTTCAAAATCTATATCATCCACCTCAAAGTAATCTTCTTGGCCTCAATACACTTGCGCCAACATTTTTTCTAAACCTCGAAAGAGTTGTTAAAGTAAATTTGTCTTCAATGTGCGTAGCGATTCACGTTTCATGTCTTCAAATGTGTCAAAACGGTTTCCCCGGAGCAGTCGTTTTAGTTTGCGGAATAACGAGAAGTGACATGGATCTAAAACAGCCAAATATGGTGGTTGCGAAACTATATTGTTTGAAAATTTGGGGATAAGCTCTCGAAAAATCAATTCAGTATGCAAAGCCTAAGAGTTGTCGGCGCATAATTCCGGCATCTTTTAACGAATAGCTTGGCGTAAACCACGCATAAGACTCAAATAGTATTCCGTATTGACATTTTGGTTGGCCGGAAGAAATTCGGAGTGCACCACACCGCGATAATCGAAGAAAACAGTTTGATTTTTGACCTCCTTTGACTTGGTTTTATCGACTTCGGTTCACCTCTGGTACGATATTCGATCTATTAATTAATCGTCTGTATCCGCGTCGTACGCATAGATCTAAGACTCATCGCCAGTAATAACGCGTTTRAAGACATCTTGCTAGTCGGAAAGCATTGATTCACGTTAACGCGATGCTGGTTTTCGAAGAAATTTAGTGATTTTGGAACCAACCGTGCTTTAACTTTTGTTAGGCTCAAATGATCTTTCAAACAGGTTTTCACTGATCCTTCCTATACTCAAATGATGCCAATAAGATCTCTGACTGTGTTGATCATCAGTTGATGTTGATGGTCGTCCTCGACGTGGTTCGTCATCAAAGCGTTCTCGATCCTCTTTGAATGAATTGTACTAATCAAAAACACTTGCTCGCGACAAACAATTATCACCGAAAACCTTTTCCAACATTCTGAACGTTTCGGCACCAGATATTTGATTCCGCACACAAAATTTAATAGAATTTCTTGTTGAATAATCCACTCATCGTAAAAATTCTGTACTTTAGAAAGACAAACGTATAGATAAAAGTAAATATTAATTTGATATTCCTGACAGTCATACCAACTCAAACAAAAAAAAAAAAACATATTTCGACGAATGGGTTTTCGCGCGACATCAAAGTTTAAAAGTCTTACTATATTTGGCCCACAGTAGTACATTCGCTTTTCGGCTTCCGCTTAATTTATTATTGTTTTTTATAAAGTAAATACCAAACATTTTTGAATATCCTTTTTCTTTTCTTTCTCCACTATCTCAACTATTAAATTCATGTGCCAAATGTAAATTAACTTCTTAACAAAGGATAAGCTTATGCTTAAGGCACACGCACCCGAGTGGATGTCCCGCTTGAAAGTCAGCGATAATATAAACTTGCATAGGAGTATTGATTGTATTGCCAAGGTACAATGGCGTATTGCAAAAAAAATTGTGGAATATATATAAATGAATGCTCGTATATGTTTTCTGTTTAGTATGAAGAAGGAAAAGAAGTTCTAACTTGTGGTATATAAATTCTTTGTGTGTTCAATGTCGATGTTAATAATGAAATATTGTTATGAAATGGTGAATGTATTTGTAGTGAGCGCATTTTAATTTATTATACGAACATAAGCAGTTCTTTGTATGTTAATTACTTACGTATACATATGTATATGCCAAATATAAATAGTTATCAGAAGTTCTAGTTTTGAATGTTGTCAGTTCTAAATGTATGTCCAAAAATCGCATTAAAAACTGTTATCAAAAAAGCTAACAACTAGGAGTTTCTAATTTAAGGAATTTGATTATGAATTGATTCCGCACAATATTATTTACATTACAAATATAAWTAGAATATGTGCACGAATACTAGAACAATAGAAAACATTTGTTTAAGTTTATAGTTTATCGATTTTCTGTGTATATTATGTTTAATTAAGTGTTTTAGAGTTTCTWAAACTCATTCTAATCATTAAATCCTAACGACAGATCGTAACAATATAAAATGAATAATAATTGTACATAAACCATTTATTGCATTTGTTAAAGCAAAAGCACATTGCATTAATCAATATATTAGGAGAAAATTTCTCGTTTCCCTAATCCTCCGAGTATTTTGTATTTTTCAGTTATTTTTATTGTCCAGATAATTTGAATCTCTTAAGATGCCTTTTTTAGTTTTAAATTGGTTTAAACTCTTCCAAATTAAGCTTTTTTTACTTTATTCTTTTTTTGTTTTGCTCTAAAACATTTTCGAACAAAGTTTTTCAATCAATTTTGTATTTTTATTGAATGTTTGTAACGTGCTTAAATTGACAAAATATAATTTATATTGAAAAGCTTATATGTATAAGGGTAATACAAATAGCTTTGGGAAACTTTTATTATTAAATCAACAAACCCATTCTATCGTTACAATTGTGTATGAAAATGTGTTCGCAATGTTATTATTATACTACTAAATTTAAATGTGTTCAATCAAAAGGCATAAGACCAAGTAGGCTTTTTATAAAAACAAATTTAATTTTACTTTCCAAAGGTATTACACTAATTGTTTACAATTAGATTTTGTGTAAATTTAAATTTGGTTTGCAAATATTTATGTATGTATGTATTTAGCTAACAACACGCAAACCTAACACTGAATCTATAATAATCAACGTATATATTTTCTTATCAATTATGACCTATTGGAATGCACTCTAATATCCTGGGACACCTTTAAAATTTTGTATAAAAAAAAAAAATGCGAAATGCTTGACACAAATGAACTTTTCAAAATTTTCAAATATCCTGGTTGCACATAAAAAATGTGGGTTTGTTTTTATTAAACTCACACAAAAGGAGTTAAAAAGTAATACAGACACAACGGATATYTTAAAGCCAGCACCATCCTGGAGTAACGTTGCCATAAAATCGCCAAACCAACAACAAGTAGCTGCCTCCTCATCATCTTCATCGGCTGGTGGTGGCAGTTCTGGCAGTGCTGGCGGCATCGGGACAGCCGCTAACATTTTCGGGCGAACAGTAGATGGTGGCCGCCCTAGTGTTGGTGGCATCTCTACTACGTCGACGTCATCGATGCAACTTAAAAAACTTACTGACAATGTCAAAAATCCAACAACAGCGGAGATAGTCGCAGGGAAAGGAAGCACAGGCAGCACAACACAAAGCGGCRGCACAGACGAGGAAGCTAAAGGTAAGTACGTAGGGAGAATGCTACAAATTGATAGCATCAGTTTCCAAAGAGGTTCGCACAGAATTATGCGCGATGGAAAAACAGCCGACTTTTTACTTATATGCATGCACTCAAAATCAATTCGACAAATTTACATGGAATTCATTCGACTAATGATCATACATATACATATATTTTACATATATTTAGCGCAACATTCCTTGAGCTAGATCAAGAATCTCGGCAAATTTCATGTAGTTAAGGGCACCGTAAAGCCATAAATTAACTAGATAGAAAGATTTCGAGTGCGATTCGGGTGAAGAGTCTACTTTATGTCAACGGRAGAAATGCCAAGCATATCCTAAGCAACTTCGATATCAATATAATGTTATCTGAAGCTCTAATGATCACTTCAGGGAGTACTCAGCAATCACAGCCTCAGGTGTTACATTTTCCTTTTTAGATATGTAGGTAGTATAATTCTCAAACTATTCTTTAATGCCTACAAGTTCGAAGGGATGTCAACAGATTGTTGAGGGAATGGCTATTCTAGAATTAAATGCAAAATAAAACACTTCACTAGAACTCCATTATTCAAAGTACATGTAAATATGTAATATATTCAATTTAATTTATGAATTCTTTATTTTTCCTAAAAGTAGACAACATTTACAAATTAGCATTATAATCTCATTCGATACATACATATATGTATTGATTGCTAGACAGCATTAAATTTCTCGCTGTTTCTCGAGTRTTTGCTATGGTTACTTAACCTTATGAAAGTTTATCTCAGTATACCCCGCCTTCAACTTTTATATTTCGTTATCTTCATCATTATTTTATTACCTTCACAAGAAAACTCACCACCATTCGAAATTTTCAGAAAGCATATAATGCTTGGTACGATTGGACTAAGTCTTTCTGCCAATTTTACCTGTTTATCTGATATTATATTATATATTCTGTAAAAACAAATACTTTTTCTTTTAAGTGACATTTTTTATGTTTTATGTGTTGGTATTAAATGGAACAATAAATATTTTTACTTAAACTAATTTATTCAAAATTATTTAATATCTCATATAGCAGCGGAGATTGCAGCAAAAAAATCACGCTTAAAGCAAAAGCTTGTAAAAAGCGCGCGATCTGTTGGCATATTTTCGCTGAAATTGAAAGAGCGGCGACAACGTGAAGCAGAGAAGGCGGCAACTATAGCCATTGAACATGCCAAGGTAACATATTTGTCGTAAGAAATATGATTTGTTTAGTATACTTCGTACGTATGTAAACGAACTCATTTTTTGCCACAGGCTCTGGCTAAATTGCCTCCCATACCGCAACCAGGSGGCGAACTATCTCTCATACCTATTGAACAGCTAATACAAATCGAAGATATAAAACCAACACCAAAAGCGCAATCCACCACAACAACACTAACAGCAGCGACAAGTTTGTCCACTGCTGTGACTTCACCACAAGTAATGACACCCTCATCGAGCGCACTGGCGGCGGCGATGCAGCAATTTCAAAGTTCCGGAAATTACTGAATAAGAACACAGGGTAACGATCTCAATYCTACATACATACATACACACATATTACATAAAACAACAATACTCAAATAAATATAAGATGCACACGGAACATTTTGTCATGTACTTACATACAACTGTAAATATCTAAGAATACGAATACAAACAAATTCATAAAAATACATACATATTACATTTATAYAAAAGTACATTAAAATCTGCAAAAATGTCAAATCACTATACACACCCTATACAATACCCAGACGTTGCACTATATAATTTTTTAAAATAAACATGTAACTATCATTTATGCATATGGGTACATAGGTAGTTGGTATCGAAAAAAGTAAAATTAGTTTAAATGCAATAACTAAAAACCTCATTCTCGTACATATTATATATAAACTTGAAATTCATAGGATACCTTAGCGATTTTAAAGAATTTGTTTTATTAAATTTATGATGTTAAAAAAATGGTATTTTCATAATTCACGCATCCTCTTCTTAGTCAATCAAATTAGTTCAATGACACTTCACAGCGATATCTCTGTATCCATACCTATGCAAGTATTCTAAACTTTTCACATTGTATATGGATAAATTTCGTCTAGAAATTTAAGAGGTGGTGTTATAAGAGCAATATTTTATATGGAAACTTTATGAGAGAGCTAAATATTTTTTCCAAGTTTTTTTTGCTTAAAAAATAACATTACGGTTTAATATTTTACTTAATATACCCTAAAAGAACTAGTTTTACAGCATATATCACGCACCCACTTCAGATATTTCAGCTACCTATGTATACGATGCCTATGAAGATACACATCTACAATATGCATTTGCACACATGCATACATACATTGTAGTGGTAGTGAGTATGGCATTTATTAAATCAAATTTAGGCAAAAACTGATATTGACATTTTTGTCACAGTGATTGTATTTTACATATGGGTATATCCATACATGTTAATAACATTTACTATAATTATAATTTAGGCAGAAGTACTATATGGGTCATTCCATCACAAATTAAGATTACAATTTCTTTTTGTATTCTTAATAACATTTACTATAATTATAATTTAGGCAGAAGTACTATATGGGTCATTCCATCACAAATTAAGATTACAATTTCTTTTTTCATGTAAAACATTGTTTTACGTGTTCTTTGACTCAAATTATTCCAAAATTTTTTAGACAGACTCAATATGAAAAATTTTGGAGTTACGAATTTTCGAAAAAATTACTTTCAACATTTGYGTATACGAAGAAAAGTATATATTTCATTATAAAAATTACGAATCGGCTAAGGTATCGGATATACGTTGCATTTATTCGACTTTATTTTTGTAAACAAAATGTACATTTCTATTTTGAGGACTGGTAGTTCGAAAATATTTTGATTAGGTATAATGGGGGTAAGAGAAGTATTGACCGGCTTCAAGCCATTTTTGGCACCCACACCTATTATTATGAGARAAAGACTCTCTCTGAATGTTAATTATATGTATATCTCACACAGGTACTATTCGTGAAAAGTTTATCTCGTTATATTAATTGCTTCTTGATTTTTATACTAGAAAGTAAGAGAATCAGATGGAATTTCAAATTGTGTTATGTGGGAAGTAAATAGAAAACACTTCGATTCACCTTTGCCACCATATTCGGCCGATTGATCGTCTGTTTTATCCCGYTAGTCGGAAAGCATTGTTTTATAGACGTTAACGCGACAATGTTTTTCGAAAAAATTGAGTGATATTGGAACCATTCGTGCCTTTACTTTTCTAAGGCCTAAATGATCTGTCAAAATGGTTTTCACTAATKCTTCCAATATTCCAATGGAGCCAGAAATTAATTGTCGACCCTTAAGAATCAATTCCTTTATTTCATTGACATGTTCATCATCAGCTGATAATGTTGGCCGTCCTGGACGTGGTTCGTCAGGTTTTTACCAATGAAAAACACTTGCTCGCGACAAACAATTATCACCAAATGCCTTTCTGGCATTCTGAACTGTTTCGGCACCAGAAATTTGATTCCGTACAMAAAATTTAATGGAACTTCTTGTTGAATAATTTTACTTACCGTATGAATTCCCGAATTCCCGAATGCACTTTATGTACATCAGAAAGGCAAACTTAACTAAACACTTTTGATTAATTTGATGTGACATTAGTGACACCTGTTACTGGCAGTCATACCAACTTAGAAAAAAATATTTCGACGAGTGTATTTTCACGAAAAATTTAAATTAAAAAGTATAAATTGAKTTCGTTTATAGATTTCAATCCACAAATTACGTATATGACGGAAGACAGAGGGGCCTTTAACGATTTATTAGTACAACATTTAGAGGACAATATACCACGTTTTGTCTCTATTTAAGATGGGGTTTCCTAATATGTAACTCATTCACGGTTAGATCCGAATTTCGTCAATTGACATATTATACTAAGGAAGTTGGTGAGATATGAAATTGCACCTGAGCGTGTGTGTTGCTATCCCACTTATCCGTGTTTTATTACATCGGCCGACAAATGAAAATTTTTTGAACGTGGTTTGTATTTGAGCCACAAATACCAAAAATTTTTACTATTTTAAACACGAAAACACCTACWTATTTGCCCTATCACATCAGATTTTTACTAATTATGCGCAGGGCTGCATTTAAAAAAACTTAAATCTCGAACACAAAACAAAAAACCCTGATGTGATACGATAAAATGAGGTTTAATGATCAGCACTACCAAATTATTGGAAAAAATATTCAGAACTTTAACATGATTTCGGCCGGTGTTATCCTTACCAATATTACATATCTGCCAAATGTTTCGCTCTGTAATAAATATCAAATTTGTAACTTCGTTGGATACAGGGTTGTAGCTTTTTTTCTGTTACATGATTTTCAGTCTTTCCTAACATGTTAGCATAAATATTCAAGAACCAGTCGGAAGACGAGCGCTAACAAAAAGGACCATGTACATATGTATGTACATATTCTACGAATCGCAAAAAAACAAAAAAAAAAGAAATCCAAGATAAAATTGTTGAAATATATTTTAGTATCATTTACAACTTTACCATAAAGATTAGCGTCAAGCTGAGTTTGCTTATTAGCTATTAATGACAAATAGAGTAGTTTGTGACTTGCGGTCAAAGCTTTTAGAGTCGTCCATGGTTCCTTCCATTCAAACGAAATCTCAAGAAAATTGTAACGAAGTTTAAAGATTAGAAACAAACGTAAATTTTATTAAATTAAAATAATAATATAATAGTTAAAATAGCAGTAATATATGTATATGTTTAATAATGGTGAAAAATAAAATAGTATGTTATTGCTGAATGTTCGGAAACTCGCTTTAATATTGTTGACTTATRTTTATGAAGCAAATATTCTTATATTCAAACAGACCGTTTTTTGAGTGAAAAATAATGCTTTGTTACACATATTTTAAGCACCACTTAAACCATGTTAACTTACATTTATATTTTACCTATGAATATAACAAAAATATGTACGTCAGACGATATAGTATMATACAAATTTATTTTACTGTCATGTGTTGAATACAATGCTCGCGACAGACTGCAAACGACATCTGTCGMATMTTAAAATACACACGTTCTAAGGACGSACCTATTTTGACAGTTGTCGTTCTCGCAAAATGGACAACTGCGTTGTTTTGTGTACATGCCGGTCATAGTTATGTTGCTGCCCTCTCACAAACGTTCATGTAGTAGGATTCACAACGCCATTTTCAGATCACTGTCTTGCTGSTGCAGTCTGTCGCGAGCATTGTGTTCCGCACATCAATCTACAAGAAGCATACTTGCATACTTAGCTTTGTAATTATCTGCATACCATACTTACGTAACTAGTTACAAACAGAATGTCAGTCATACATAAAACCATGTGCCTGCACAAAGTGGAGGTAGTAACATTTTCAAAAACTACTCACAAAGAAAAGTTACATATGATAATAAGATTGTGTCGATAGCCCATTATAAGAATTTGTAAAAAGTAATTGAATCCATAATGTCAAAATCAGCCGTTTTCCTTTGTATTGTTTTGTTTTTATGATTCAAAAATTTCTCTCAATGAAAATGCATTTCTTGAGTGATAACTGAATACRAATAGGTTGTAAATTATACAAAGTTATCAAAATGTAAACAGAAAATTCTAGAGCAAAACAAAAAAACTAGTTTTGACATTGTGAATACAATAATTTCTTTAGGAAGAAAAAGCACGCTCTACATCGACACAGCTTTCTATAATTGAATAAAGGAAAAAAAAATTAAGTAAATTGTAAATACTTAAAATGTCTATAAGTTTTTGTGTTATTTACAAGAATAAAGAAAGAAAAATGCAAAAGCTGATTTCTTACTGTTTGACAAAGTCCCAAATTTTAATTTCATCAACAGCTGTGGTGATTTGAGTAAAAACTATAAACGTGGTGTTCCTTCTTCTTCTGTTGTTTCTGAAGGGGTTTAGAATAGGGATGTAAATAAATTAACATGTGTCAATATATTTTTTCCTAATAACTTCCATTTCTGAGATGTAAAATGAATAACGTTACGGATATACTTATGTATGTTTATGTATATTATTGGAATTCGGAAAGAGGATTTTCCCAATGATAATGTACCCTGATGTCAAAAATAGATAAGATCGGATCAATTATTTCTCTACCTCCAATATAACTGATATAAAGACTAGTGAACTTTTTGCAAAGATTTAAAGTTCATAAAATATGTGTTTCTGCTAATAATTTATCGTAATCACAAGAATAAGTAAAATCGGTTCCATATAGCCCTATATGCCCAATATAAAGACTTCATATTTCAGGTTGACGTTATACTGTCCAATATGCGAGGTATTTTAATATATCTATATAAAATATTGAAAACACTACCGGCACTCACTTTTTTTCTCGAAAGGTATGTTGATCGGCGATCGCGATATAGCGTGTATGCGCACGGATAGAGAACAAAAGAGGTTCGACGCCGTCCGCCAGTCCCTGTTGTTAATTGTGTGCTGGTGTCCTCGTGTGTGGTGTGAAAGGTGTGGTGTAGATGATGATGCGTTRAGTTGTTGTGTGTAGTGTGGGGTGAAAAGATGATGCGTTGAGTGTGGTGTATGTAGTGTGGGATGAAAGAATGATGTGTGGAGAATGGTGTGTATGTGTGGGGTGTAGTGCTATTATTTTAGGAGGGGGCAGATGCTCATTTGGCCATCCCGGCCCCCCTAGGCGACTGTTTAGCCTAGAAGGCGCTGCAGCTGTTACAGCGTTGCCACAACGCTGCTCAGACCCGTGGATCGACGAGATGGTGGCCCAGCCTCGGTGGTTCCGCCCCGCTGGGGTGCGCCACGAGCTGCGGGTTGGAATCGGGGTATGCGGCCGCGATGGATGGGTGGCCGATTCACTTCGCGTGCCGCGCTGCGATGTAGCAGCGTGTGATGCGGCCTATGGCATATTTGGTACAGCCCTCGTGACTCACACTCAGGAGTCATATGTGTTTGTGGCAGGCAATTGTGGCAATGCCCGTGTGCCTGKSCAACTTGGTGCCATTGCACGGGACGCATACCCCTAAATATCCCACAATGGTGCAGGCGATGTGGGCGTCGACAGATGGGGCACCTTAGGGTCTCCGGCGTCCGTGATTGGTGTAGTGGTGGTCGAGTGCCACCACGAGGTGCGGGTGCAAATACCGTTGCAGGTGCGATTGCCGGTGCAATTGCCGGCGTGGTTGCCGGTCCAGCGGCCGGTGCTGTTGCAACCATAGTTCGGGGCGCTGGTGTAGGCCCGGTACGTGGCGCATTRGTAGCTACCCCAGCGGTTGACGTGCTTGTAACTGGCGTATCTACATCCATAGTAATATGTATAGAGAAGATTGTCGATTATTAATCTACCATACAATGAGATATGGGCCATCGTGCCAAGATGTGTGGCATGAATGGGTCGTCGCATTGAACGACCGTTTTTGTTAGTTTTCTTTGTTATTTCTCGACAGTTCATTATGTTTTAGCGATTTGTTATTGGCGTATTTCTCGTTTTAGTGCTAAATTTAGTGATTTTATTATATCGCAATTTTATCGGTTTCGTTTTTGCGGTTTTCGGACTCGCGWTCATCGGAAGTTGGCAGAAACACAGCTTCACGAGCGGT